GCCCCTTGGAAGCAAAAGACCAGAACTGAGAACAAGCTGTTATCAGCACATGATGATAGGTGCTTTACTCCCTCACCCCCTGCTTCAAATTCATGCTGCCTCCTCCGCTAGCTGTTTTACCAACTGGAGTCCTAAGAATGCTGCTGGTGTGAATGAAAAACCCTTGCACAGGAAAAAAGTTCATCCCAGACTCAAATTTGTTCTATAAAGTTTGGATTCAGTCAAAGGGCCACACTTGAGGACCTACAGGGCCATCTGTGGCCTTGAGGCCATAGGTTCCCCACCCCTGCCCTGCTTTTCTCCTTGGCCAGGATCTTGGTTAGTGGAGTCTCAGATTGGGGACAGGCATTGTCTGGCCAGGGTGGTAGGAGGAGCTGATGGCAAAGTGAAGAGAGCAGCTTTCAGACTGCTGTCTAAGGGACTGGCCTGAGATTAGGTCTGGTGGAAGTGCTGGGAGCTATTGATATGTTGAGCTCTGTTGCCACAGGGCCACAGTGAATAGGCTAGCCACTGTTTGGCCAGTGTGGTGGATTTCTGTGGCTTCTCAGCCCAGAAGAGGTGACTTCGGGCCAATGGGAGAGAGACAGAGAGGTACAAGGACACGCAGAGAGAGCCCTTTGAGGACCACTTCTGCAGAACTGCACAGAGCTCTAGAGGGTGGGGTCAGAGTAAGGCAGTGTTGAGAGAAGGGAGCCCTCCTGAAGGCTAGCATTCCTGCTTACATGCGGAGAAGAGTCCTGGCCCTCTCCAATTGACCTTCTTTAGCTGTCTATCCTTTTAACCTTCTGAAAAGTGCTCTGAGGGTTGAGACTGGCTTGGGGTTTTTGAGAGAAAACAGGAGCAAATATCCCTTTTACCAAGCTAAACCTTCACAAGCAGTTGGGGGTTTTGGGCATCCTCCATGGCCCCAGTGAACTCCCCATTCTGTTTTCCATCTCAGATTCAGAACTTATAACTGCCCTGTCTTCCTGGGAAACCCCTTCTCTCCCACTCCCACATCACTTCCTACCTCTTCCTCCACTCTGATAGTATTAGCCCTGGAATCCAGTCATTTGCCAGGGCAATGAAGACTTTCCTGGAGTTCGAGGGTTCATTTAAGGAATGGGTTGTAACACAAACAGGGAGTAAGCCCTTAGTGAATGAGCCCCTTTCTCTGCTCACCCTCTAAGGGAGTTTGGCCTGACCCCATATCCAAAGGAATCACAGGTCCAAGAAGATCATGAAGTATAGTTTCAGAATCACTCAGATGGGAACAGCCTTCCCCACAGAGCTCTTCAGGTATGGAACACCCCCGAATCCCGAAGATCTTTACTGCTACCAGGATAGGGCCAACTAAAGCAGAAACTCTAAGCCTTCCTGGCCCACTCTTCTACCCCCTCCACCCCCACCCCAGGCCTAGTCTGGCACTGCTAGCACCACTGAGCCTGGAATGGTGGGGGTTGGGGAATTGGGGGCAACAGGGTGCTGAGGCCAGCAATCAATGAGTCAGGACAGGGTGAGAAATTTATTTTACAGCTTCTAGGAGGGCATTTGCAAAGAGAAATAGAAGAAAATTAAAAGCTATAAACAAATACCTGCCACCCTCATTCCCTAGGCCATTTCTTGATTAAAAGGAGAAAAACTGTAAGACACCTGGGACACTCAGGATTGGTGAGGTCAACCTGGCATGGGCCCTAGGCTGTGGGGACACCTGCTGGTGAGGGCAAATGGAGAGAGAAAAGCCCATTGAGGTGTTTTCTTCTCTCCCCCCACCGCTCTTACCTGGGTACCACTGCTGCTTTTCTGGGACCCGGGGCGGATCCCAACACACAGAAGGGTTTAGGAAGCTTAGTGTACGGTCTACCGTGGATCTCAGGGTGAACCTGAGATATGGGGTAAAGTAAGACTCCCTTGGCCATGGTATGTCTCTTTCCTACCCCCTTTCTTCCCCATTCTTTCCACATGTTGGAATGGGTAGGTTCTCAGTTTGTTTTCCAGGGAGCTGGGGTAGGGTGGCCCCAGTCCTTGCAATACAAACCAAACACTCTCCTAATCCCTTTAATGGGCAGCACTGTGGAGGCTATAAACCAGCCTGACCGGAGCCTCAGCAGCAGTGAAGGGTAGGAGGCCATGAGCCCTGCAGCTGCTGCTCCTGCCTCTACCCTCTCCCTCCCTGCCTCGGCCAGCCTGAGCCTTTACAGTCCTGGGGGGATGCATGTTGGCTGGCCCAGAGGCTCCCACCTGCAGGCAGCTCTGTGTTCTCGGTTCCTTCCCATTTCTCTCTGCCTTCTACCAAATGGAACTCACAGCTCTGGGGGTTCAGATTTAGACCTAAGGAAGGACAGGACAGATAGCTAGGCCTCACCCCCTTCCCCCACCTGAGTCTCTGGCTGGCCAGACCTGTACTTATCCATCCACCCACAGAGAGGCCCAGGGGTTTCTGACTGAATCTAGGTAATGACTTTCTAATCCCATACTAGGGGTACTTTAAATGTGCTTTCAACTGAGCAGTAGAGGGTTGAAGGAAATCTTGGCCTGCCTCTTAAAAGTTCTGGATTTCAGGGCTAGTCCTTCCTGCCCCCACCTCCACCTCCACCCCACCATGGACACCCTCAGCCTGACCCTGGTAGATGCTGTTGTTCTAATACCATAACTTCTGAAGACTCAGACACCCTAGGCCAGTATACTTTTAAGATCCTGTGCTGTGTGGAGTCACTGACAGTTTATGAAAAGAGGCATGTGTAAGTTCTTTGTGTCAGCACACTAGCCTTCTGAATGGCTCACTCCTCCGGCCAGCTCAGGGACCTAGTGTCATGGTACCCTGGAGGCTCAGGGATGGCAGATGAGCCTTCCCAGATCCCTCCTGGCATCTCCAGACAGCTGCCCAGCTGGAAGGGATGGACAGAGGGCTCTGTGTGACCCAGACTTTGACAGACTTTGTGAGCAGGTGAATCTGGGACAAGAGAAGGAAGAGCCACAGGGCAGGCCAGATGGGAGCTGGATGTTGGGTGTCAAGGGAAAGGACATGGGGTGGGGGGAACTAGGATACATCATGAATGGGTCCTGGGCAGTGGAGCCCTACTGTGTTTTCCCTGGACACTGAGTAAATATGCCCTTAGAGAGACATTCACAACTGAGGCTGAACCTTTTAAGATGGAATGACCCTGTTAAGGGTCCCTTGGGCCCTTACCTTCCTTGCAGACATTTTTCAGGCATGCAGCTTTTGGTCCTAGGGAAAGAAGAGAGGAGTAACTAGACCCTGAATGAGAGCCTTTCTTCATGTGCTCCTTTTCCATCCCTGCCACCCTTCTCCCCGAGCACCTGCCCCTGCCAGACAGAATCCTCCTGTCTGTAGGCAGACACTTCCCCAGGTTTGGCATCCTCATAGGCCAGCCCTCACTCCACATACCACTTCCAGAAGGGCTTTGGTTTCCTTCTCAGATATGTGTAAAGGGAAGATGCCATTGAGAGGCAGGGACATGGGCAAGGGCTGGAGCCTTGCCTGCCCTCATGTGCCCATACCTAAGTCCAGGAAGGTTAAGCAGAGACACCCAGCAGAAACAGCAGGTCAGGCCTCCCAAGGCAGCTGTAGCCTGCTACCTCTGGAAGAGCCTATGTGTAACATTTATACGAGCCTCCTACTTCCTTGAAGATTTGAATTCCCTCTCCCAGACTCTCCCTTCCTCTCCTCCTATCAGTCTGTGTGTAAAACTTAGCCTGTTTCTGACTTCTTCCCAGTTCCTCATCCCCACAAACTCTAACTCCCAGACCTGTTCTCTGTTCTCCCAGACCCTGAGAAGTGGCCTTTTCCCCATCCCTGGCTGTCTCTCTTGGGTACCTTTGCATCATCATTCTACATCTCAACGTTCCTCAGTGCTGGGGGCTTAGGGCAGCCAGGGGCTGAGGATGTAAGTCTTATTTTCTGCCATAAATCTTTGGAATAGCCAGGCCTCAAACACTCCTGTAAGTGGTGGGCTAGGCAGAGGTCAACATAATGTTCCCCCTACAATTGCCCGATATCTTTCAACACTTCTCCATCCTCTGACCTATGCCTGGTTCCCAGGGACAGCCATCTTTCCTGCCTGCACTCTGGCCCTGTACATGCCCATCTAAGACTGACTCTGTAGAGAGTCAGGACCTCTTGATCCATTGCTGAACCTTGTGGGAGACTGGTTACAAGACTCTGAGCTAGTGATGTCACCTCTTTATCCCTCCCATCTTGCAGATGGGGAGAATGGCATCCCCTGTCCCCCCAACCTCCATGGACATGAAATATGTCTGGAGCCAGGTAATAGGATTATCTTGTTTCTAAGCCCAGGTTACTTTTCTGGAAGTGGTTGTTACTCCCAATCACTTGGGGGGAGGCATTGGTAGGGGATGGAATGTCGGAAAAAGCTGATCTCCAGCAGCCCCAGCGGACAGAGTACATTATTCTCTTTCTGAGGGACCCCACGTGGATCCCTGGAGACAAGCAAGGGTGAGAAATTTGGTACACGGTATGCTATGGTTTACAAGATGAGACCTCCCCATAGCCTTGGGTGGGAGAAGGAAGGAGGGAAAAGGAGGCCCAGCCTGTGCTATGTCCCTCATCACACACACCTGAAATTTCCCAAGAGAATAGGCTGATCCCATCTTGTCCGCTCCCTTCCCTAGATTAATCACTGCATGTGTTTGGGAGTAAGCTGTGACACCCCACTCCCCTTCCCCAACTTTGCACTTGCTGAATGTGTGGCTCCCAGCCCCCTGCCCCATCTTCTTCATCATCCTGCTTCCATCTTGGAAGCCTTCCCAGTTGGTCATCCCCACTACTCCCTTCCCAGGAGTTCCTCACAGATCCCTACATGCATGGCAATGTCCTTATGGATGGAAATTCTCCATAAAGCTGCAGAACTTCCAAGTTTGACTTCCTTCTGCTGACACCCTCTTATACCTGCTTGCAAAACGAAACCGAACCTATTTGCCTCTTTAGCTGTACCCATATTTCTTCAAAATAGATGCCTCAATGCTTTTCTTTTCAAAAGGGAAAAAAAAAGGAAAAAAAAAAACAATCTCATCAGCCCAGCGTTCGTGAACAACCCTCCAATAACAAAGCATTGTGCGTGCGTGATGGAGGAAGGTAAGGCAACCTTTTTCCATTTCTAGCTTCCTTAACCAGGGCTGGGTGGGGCAGGGGATGGAAAGAAGTCAAGGACCAGCCACCCTGAAGCTGGCTTCCCCTGTACATATACATCCTCCGTCTCCCCAGGGCCTTCTAGGAGAATTCCCTGGAACGTTGCCAGTGATTAGCCAGTTCCCTGAATCCCCCATGATTGGCCTAGTGAGGGGAATGGAACCCCAAGTCACGAATTCTCCCCCATGTCTCTACTCTTTCAGGGTTGATGGGCTGGACATCCTGCTGATGTTGGCAGCATTCTAGGGGCCCTCTTCTCCCTTCCTTTCCCCAATCCCTCCTCCCCCAAGTGGTTTGGAATAGGCCCATGGCCGTATGCACACTGTTCTCTGGTTGGCGCCGTGGGATGCAGTTGTCCAGTCATCTGCCAAAGGGACAAAACTCCAAGTCTTTGAGCTGCCTGAATGAATCCTGCTTCCCTCCACCTTCTTCTTTGTAGGTTGTTCACTAGAATGGCTAAGAGATCCAGTCCATAGTAGATGACAGAGCATCTAGGGGACAGCACATTTGCCCTGTAAAATTCCCCCAGGCTGGAGTGACTGGCCATATGGTAGGGGCAGGAAGGGCAGCCTGAGACATACCAGTCCCACTGGTGCTTGTTCACCAAGCATGGGGATAGCAGCTGTCCAGAGAGTGATTGTCAGAGGCCCAGCCCTGTCCATCTGCTTGTAGACCCAACACTGGTGTGGGGGTGGCGGAGCAGAGAGAAGGAGGAGATGTGCTGTCTAGGCCTGGGCTCTCTGCTTGTCTGTTTCTGAAGCACCTTGTCCTGGGCATGCTGGCATTCCTCTTCTCCTAACACCCTAAACCTTCCTCTACCCTGACCCTTGCTGATGTTTGGAGGATGATAAAGTTCCTTCTTATCCTAGGTACTGACCCTAGGAAGCATGGAGTGGGGGGAGGGAAGGAAGGTGAGGATCTTTCAGCATCCTCCCTACCCCTCCTGCCGTGAGCTCTTCAGCTCATCTCCTTGCTTTGCCAGCCAATCTTCTTCCCCCACCCCCCAACCCGCCGTCTTGGTACAAAGAAGGAAAAAAGACCTGGAGAGGTTTCAAAGTGCTGGGGAGGGGGGTGGGATGTCAGAGAGAGGGTGTGTGACCCTCTCCCCCTGCTCATATCTCCCTGAAGCTCTCAGCTGTTTGCCTTTCCTGGTTTGCATCTGAATTTCCTTCTCTTTTTCTCTCTGTTGCCCACAGCCTGTGCCTTATTGGTTGGGACAGGGATGAGTGGTGGTGTGGGGGCAGGGGAGAGATGGACAGCCAAGGGGAAGTAGGGGTTCAAACCAACTGATTGCCTTGTTTCTGCCCCCTCCCCGCCCCTCACCTTGGAAGACTAAACTGGGCACTGCCATCCAGAGAGGAGCACCTGGAGTGGATTCAACTTTCATCCCTGGAACCTGAAACTGCCAGATCCAGCTGTAAACTCACTGCCTTCCACAACCATCACCACTCACTTAACTGCTTTCATTCTACTGCAGAAGTCACTGAGGCTCTTGCATCCTCACGCCCACCTAATAATGAGCTCCCCTTTTCATCCATCTCCTTACACTGGCCCTGTGCTCCAATGCTGTATAATCAGTCCTGGAGTCATGACAGTCCTACTCTTAGGATCCTTGCACACTCCTCAGTTCCAGGCAGTTTCTTAAACAGTGATACAGGGACCCCTGGGGGCCCCCGAAACACTTTCAGGGGATCCTCAAAGTCAAAACTTTTCATAATAGCATTAAAGGCTATTAACCACATAAACAAAAGCTCCTTGGGAGATCCTCAATAATTTGAAGAATAGAAAGTGGTCCTAAGACCAAAAAGTTTGAGAACTCCTCATCCCAGGGAAGGAAATATAGACCCCTTGACTCTTTGGATACTGGTGACAGACAGCACTGGCCTGCAGTGGTTCTCTGGGGTTGTGGCCCCACGGCTGTCTGCTTGGCGCCTGTGCAGGCTTTGTTTGACCAGTGGTGTCCAGCCGGGGAGTCAGGGCCCCTAACCAAAGGCAGCTGTGCATGAGAAGGATCCAAAGGCCTCAAACCAGACAGGATAAGTACAGCATCGGCGTGTGCTCAGCCACTCCTAGCTGATTGAAATTACTGCCTTGACTTCCTGAGCTCATGGCACTGGGGAGGAAAGGAGGCTGCCTTGCAGTGGGGTTGCTTGCTGACAGGGTATGCTATGGGTCAGCTTCTTGCCAGTGTACTCCTACTCCAGGGTGACGTGATGGCACATGGTGGGTAGCCACAGCTAAGTGGGGAAAGAACCTTGTTGTACCATAACAGAGCCTAGGGAAGGGGACCAGGATCTGAGAGGGAACTTCCATACCCTACTGGGAATGTCTGAGTGCCCCACATCTCAGCCTCTGTGTTCTGTCAGCAGCCGCCTGGAGAGGAGAACAGAGGAACCTTAGCAGCTCTGTGGTTATCTATTCACCTGTATGTAACTTCCCCCTATCTCCCTATCACTTACTCTTATTCTCCCTACAGTGGTAACAAGAGGTTGCCAGGAGGTTCCAAAGATGAATTGAGCAAATGGTTGACAGGAGGTGGGATGAGAGTGTGTGTGTGTGTGTGTGTGTGAGAGAGAGAGACAGACAAACAGACAGACGGGGAAAGGCAACCCCATAGCAGGGCCACCCTCACTTGGGTGCTCCTCTGGGGCTAGGAAGGCCCAATAGGCAAAGTGCCACAGACTGGGGTTGGCATGGTAATGGACCTATGGACTTTGAACCTTGTTCTAAAAGTGGATATATGTGCATTAGGAGGGTGGGAAAGGAAGGAGGGAGCCGTGATTCCTCCCTCCTTCAGACACCATGGTCCCATTACTATACACAGGGCACAAGCTGAGCTGATAACCAGGGCCCTTCCTCTCTGCTGGAGAGATTGTTCATGCATTCCTCCATATTCTGCAGCCTGCAGGGATGTATCTCTATATGCACGTGCATGGATCTAACCTTGTTGTACATTGGCAGGGTTAAAAATACATTTGGCCTAATGTTGGTGCCCCACAGTGAAGCCAGACCTCTGTCTGGGACCCCAAGCTCCAGATCAGCTTCTGGTGGCATCCAGAGGCTTCTGAAGAGACAGTAGTGAGATGCCTGGATACTCCCTTGGGTGTCAGCGCAGACGGCTGAGCCATCCCAGCAAATCCCTGCCCTTCAGGGAGCAGCTCTCCCTCCCACCCCTCGGGCTGTAGTCGTGACCTGGACGTCTTCTCTTTCTTTTGCAGAGCTCCAACGAGAGGGAAGTATTGAGACTCTGAGTAACAGCTCAGGCTCCACAAGTGGCAGCATCCCACGCAACTTCGATGGCTACCGGTCTCCTCTCCCCACCAATGAAAGTCAGCCCCTCAGTCTCTTCCCCTCCGGCTTCCCTTAGCCTCCTCCAATAGTAACAACTCTACTTCTAGCCAGCCTGCCCCCTGAGGAAGTTTCTTATTCCCGGGGATGGGAAGACCAGGATTGGTTACATTTTCTAGCATCTGCTCTCCTTCCGCTGACCACCCTTCCCAAGCATACTGATGAAGAACCCGGCCTGTTTCCCCGTCTGTCTTCTGTGATAAGAAGAGACAGCCACTTAAAGCACTTGGTGGCTCTGTGGCTTCTCTCCCTCCCTCTTCAGTGTGGCCAGGAGGAGACCCTCTCCAGAAGCTCAGTTCCACCCTCATTGTTGCACATGTCGTTACACACTGGATCTGGTTTTGTATTTTCTAACCAGCGAAAGGGAGAGCCCGCTCATGGGCCAGCAGCAGAGCCCAGAGGTCCAAAGGCTGGGGGTAGAGAGAAGATGGATTGAGTTGAGCCTAGAGTCTGGCTCCTCTAAGCTGGGTGGCCACCGTCCCTCTTCCCTCTGATATAACAAATCATTGCTTCACTGTTCCCTTCACCCATTGCCCTCCCGTTGCCACATGAACTGAGGCCAGGGGTATTATGGAAAATGGAGGGAGAGAGTTGTCTCTTTTTTCCAACCCTACTACTCCTTTGGCTCATGGGAAGAATTGGTATTTCTTACAGTCCCCTGTTTTATCCTAATCCTGTATTAAGATTCAACTCCCCTATTTGGTGAAGGAAGCCATGGTTATTGAAACTCTGTAAAGAAGTGCATGTCTTGTCCAATAAATTAAGCTGAAATCAGGTTTTGTGTCCCTGAGCTGGTGAGGCATGCAAAGGGACTCCTCCCCAGGGGCTGGACTGAGCCCTGGGACACAGGTCCAGCTTGTCTCCATCACACATATCCCTGTGGCAAGCCTTGGTTCTCTGGAAACATGAGGGGAGGGGGAAGTAGGGATAGAAGGTGGGGAGAAGTGTTGATTTTTGACTCTGGCATATTGGTCCTGGTCCTGCTTTGAGCACTCTCCACCTCCTTTCTCTTCTCTTCCCAGAAGAGGATGAGGCCTACATAAGCTTTGGACTCCTTACCTCTCATTAAGGCAGACTTTGACATGCTGAGCCAAGCTGATGAGAGAAAGTAGGCCAGGGCCTAATGCTCATCTATGTGATTTAAGTTGGACTTTTTGGGGGAGGGGGAGCAGGGTGGGTTAATTCTCAGGATAATGGATCCCAAGGAGAGAGAGAGAGAGAGAGTACAACTGGGGAAGGAACAGTTTTTGGTCTCTGATAATCCTAGGAGGCACTTTAGGGAGTATTCTCCTGTTGTTCCCTCTAAACATTCATTCTCTCTCTCTCTCTCTCTCTCTCTCTCCCTCTCCCTCTCTCTCTC